CTCTCCTATGAGGACAGGCTGAGAGAGTTGGGGTTGTTCAGCCTGGAGAAGAGAAGGCTGCGGGGAGACCTGATTACAGCCTTTCAATACCTGAAGGGGGCCTATAGGAAAGATGGGGAAAATCTTTTTAGCAGGGCCAGCTGTGACAGGACAAGGGGTAATGGTTTTAAACTAAACCAGGGTAGGTTTAGACTAGATATAAGGAAGAAATTCTTTACAATGAGGGTGGTGAAACACTGGCACAGGTTGCCCAGAGAGGTAGTGGAGGCCCCATCCCTGGAAGCATTCAAGGCCAGGTTGGACGGGGCTCTGAGCAATCTGATCTGGTTAAAGGTGTCCCTGCTCCTGCAGGGGGGTTGGACTAGATGACCTCTAGGGGTCCCTTCCAACCCAAAACATTCTATGATTCTATGTACAAGCTCTTACCAGGCACTGAAGGCAGCAGTTTGCTGTAAGCAAATGCAAACGACGGCACAAGCTATACAAGGCACTCAGCGATAGCCTGACTCGCGTATTATCCGGAACACGTTATCTCATTTTGAATATGCCATTTGCACTCTGCTGTTGGCACAGCTATATAAAAAGCACTCAGCGATGTTTAATTCAAACAGATCACTCCGAAGACATGAGAAAGCAATTTATACAGAAAAAGAAAGGCTTGTAACTGTATCAAGTCAAAGGAGCGCCAATGCCTCCAAAGATTCGGGCATCTCTCAGCACTCAGTCGTTTCGAGCGAGGGAGGTGCATCTCACTCCATCCATGCAGTGGTACAAAGCTCAGGATTGGCATATGCCATCCTTAATTTGTTTCAGGCATGAACTGTTCCTGGTCCGCCTGCACATCCTCACACCACAAGGTAAAGGCAGTGTAAGCTCACCTGTAATCCAGCCATCCCGCAACGAGGTCCCTGGATGCCCAGGCGCTCCGTCCTCGCGAGCGCTGTCGGGAAGTCAAACCAATCCACCGCCTCTCCAAGGCTCTCCGTGAGTCATGTGCAGAACTTTCCTAGGTTGTGCCCCAAGGGAAAAGTCATAGACCTCATGTACCACACCACAGAAAACCAAATGACGGGGGGCAGCGTCTGCTCACACAGCTCTGGCAGCAGAGAGTTACAAGACCAGAAGCAGCAGCAACCCTTCAGAAGGGAATTAAAGGCCAGGATGGTGAAAACTTTCACGGAGCATCATCAAGAAGGATCCCTTTGGCCAAAGGCTTCATCTGAGGAAGATGCCAAATTGAGTCTGCAATGCTGGGTGAAGAGACTGAATCCTAGTGGAAAGGTCCATCCTTTATAAGGAGATATATATGTATAACAAGGAACTATATTGCTTATTTTCATGACAGATGTGGTTTCCCTCTTGGCTCAAGACAACTAACTCTGGTTGAATAAGCCTTGATTACATCTAGGCAAAGAAATGCATGTATTCTCCAGCTGCCTCCAGGCCAATGGATCAGACCCATCTCACCATACAGATCTTGATCCCGATTTTGTTAACACATTTCCCTCCCAGGTAGCCCCTCTTCCCCATCTCCCTTCTTTTCCTTTTATTCTTCCTCAAAAGACCCTTATCACACTTCAGTCCTACCAAGGCCTACCAAATTCCAGGTATATAGCTCAAAGCAGATCTGAAGTTGTGTCAAAGCAGGCAGTGGAGGACGATAGAGCAGCATCCATCTGAAGCTGGGAGCTTGGTACTTTTGTATGGATCAAAGGCAATCCCTGCCTCACGGTCCCTCTCCCAGGGCCTTCTGGCTGATGGCGGTGGCTACAAGACAGACATGTTTCAAAGAACAGGAAACACTCCTACATCATGACTGGCCCAAGGGTTCAGGGGTACATTCATAAAACCTTTCTAAATTACTAATTTTGGCCCCGAGATGAAACAATTTGGATGGCCTGAGATACTGTGCTGACAGCGAACAGGGAAACAGCAGAGAGAGTTAAAAGGAAAGGGACGCAGCTGGACACCAAAGTACTTGTAAGCACAGCCTTACACTGGACAGGCCCTGAAGCCAAAATCTTTCTTCTAACCTATTAAAAAATACAACTGCATTACTGAGATGAGACACAGAGCATTTGGTAAGTCTGTGCGAATTCCCGTAACGTCAATTGGAACCCAATCCCAGGATCAGCGACCTGCTGCGGTCACAGGGGCCCGGGGCTGCACAGGACTTCAGGAGATCACTCGTGACAACCCAGCGTACGGAGGCAGGAACTGCGCACGCCACGCGCTCCTTCCTCCAGCGGTGGTTATGCAGCATCGGTTATCCAGCATCGCCTTTGAAAATTCTCCACCATCTCCACGTAACTGCAGCTTGCTCCTGCGTGTCAGCCACGCTCTGTGAGAAGCTTCCTCTCTTTTCCAGCATAAATCAGCTTTGCTAAAAATTCAGTTTATTTCTTCTTATTCTGCTTATTTCATAGCAGCCATGCTGTTGCTGATTACACGATCATTATTAATTTGCTTTTAAGAAAAAGGGTCTAAGGTCTATTATGGTGGTAGGATGAATCCTGAGCTGATGATTAACCACCCTATCTGCCAGTTCCCAAAGCAATGTCACAAACAGCAAATACATTTTCTGTTTTCTGGGCTGACCAAATAATTTAAATCTAATGTCAAGGCAGATCTTCTAAGGACATAAAACTGGATGAACTAGACAGCCTAGAGGTAGGAAAAAAGAAAAAAAAAATAACTTGAAGAGCCAGAAATTTTGCAGAAAGCTGATTGCCTGTTTGGTTTACTGAGTCAGAGTCATTTATCAATGATACCTTCTAGTAGAAGCATGGAAAGTCTGAACCATTACACTATAGTATCACAGATGTATGATAGATAACGCTTTTCATAAATCTGAGAAATTTGTAAATAAACAATTTTAGATTCTAGCCCACTTAAATACTTTCATGCAAGAAGTCCAATTTCAAAACTATTCTATGGCGCTGGTGCATCTGACTCCAGGCAAGTCCAAGCACCTCCCCATCTTTACCACAGCCTTCCACATAGTGCCCCCAGGAGGGAAGTGCTACAATTACCATTTTTCTTCCGAGGCAAGAACAATTGAGGTCACCCAGTAACCGGCAGCGTCTCGGAGTCTCAAATCCCACGCAAGCCTCATCACTGGAAATATGCTTTGGAGGAAGTAAGTCTTTGTTAGAAAGCTGTCACAGCCCACTCAGACAGAACCAGCACAACACCCGGGAGCACAGACACATCACAAACCAAACATAAAGTGAATATTTTGCAGGTCCTGCAACACGAGAGGCTCTTCCCCATCAATTACTGCAGTTGTTGCAATTATTGCTCCAGACTTTTTGGAGGGACTTGAAGAGAACCTCAGCTTTGAGAGAGGCAAGTCAGTTGATTCCATACTAAATACACTGTTTCCATGGAGAACAACAAATTTCATCCCCTACAATCTTGCAATCGAACGGTATCATTGCCGCCAGCCAAGCTACCGTAAGCTCAATGCTGCCCTCAGCAGAGCCAACGAACTACTACAGGTAGGATTTGACCTTTGAATTGAACAAGGCTGTTGCCGATTTACAGCTCAAAGTCCGTCATCTCCACTCCTCGCAGCTGTACTGACCAGGCAGAGATAAAAATGGCCACTTAAAAGCTGCATTATTTCACTTTCACAGAGTGCAGAGCAGGGGGCCACCTCACCCCTTGACAGAGCTCGCCCGCAGCTACGGTAGCTACACCCGCGTTTTCTCCGGCCGCCCAGGACGAGCCGTGACCCACCCAACAACCGAAGCGCCAACCAGCAAACCAAGCTACCAGCACCGCTGGCTTTTCAGTGGAGAGAACTTGAACTTAAAACAGGTCAACATACACTGTTTGAGAACACATATCTCATTTTAATTAAGACTAGACACTTCCACCTGGTTTCAAACTGTAATTACAGCCAAGCCTACTAGGGCAGATAACAGCGTACTGCTCGACACGAGGTGTGGCCGGCGGTTCACCCTCCACCCACACAGGATGTCTATCTTGCACACTTCCTCCCAGGGCTGTCCCCGCTGCAGGGTTCACGCAGCCGGGGGTTCGCACCCCAGCGCAGCCAGCCAGGCTGCAGGGCCCCGCTCTGCCCTCCTTAGCGATTCACTTATGTGTCACCTTGCTTAGGTGGGAGGTAGGGGGAAGCCCTCTAGCCTGCGCTGCAGGTAGCTCCTGCTCTCCAGACGTGTCAGGGGGACACACCTGTCCTCTGACCACACAGGGGAAGGGGGATGCCAGGGAGCTTCCCACACGACCTGTGCATATTTATAGCAGGAGCTGTTAAACCAAAGGAAAAGCTGCCTGTGAAATCCTATCTATACCCTAGCCCCGAACCAGCTAGCCCAGGTTTAAAGCAATGTGAGACTCTCACACCTATTTTATGAAGGACGCTACTCAACCATTTGCACAGCAGCAGCTGAGCTCACTCTCAGCACTGAGACTTTTGAAAAACAATGGCCTTAAACGTAAATCTTATGTGCTGCCTTAAACCCCCCAGCCCAGACCACACTGCACTGTCACTTTGAAACAAGCCCGTGGTGTGATGTCTCAGGGACTCCCTGGCTGTTCCTGCATTCACTTGGCAGCCCCCAAGGGGGAAGAGGGAGCAGCTTCCTTAGTTACACTGAGTGCCACAAGGAATCGAGAATATTATTGCTCAATTACACTTCTTTTAAACCGCATGAGAAATCAGACTCAGACAGTGATCAAGCCACTCATTACATCTCAAAGCAGACCCATCCCAGTGTGTCAGCTACCACGCTCACTGATGTGAGTCAGAACAGGGCATGCTTCACCCCCCGGCCTCCTGGCCAGGAGGTTAAAGGACATAGGCATTTCCTCCAAGATCACTTAGAAGGGCTGTCTGTCCTTCTTCTCTGCCATTTTCCTCTCCAGATGGAAACTAGCCCTCTGTCTCAGTGAAGGAAGTGTGAGCAGGAAGAAGAAACAGCATAGAAACCTACCTTCAAGATAAGGCTAACGCTGTTTTAGCTGGAGGAAGGGTGGCAAGCACACTAGGCAGTTTCGCCTGTTGACGCATCACTGAGGACTGAAGGTATTACAGTAGCAAGGCTGTTCTACAGTTTAAATCACATTTTACATTAATACATGGCTTTAGTTACAAATGCAACATTAAAGGTCCATACCAAGACTGTAAGTTCTGAGGAAGATGCACTTTTTGTTACAGGGCCCAGATGGCAACCATTGACTGAGCAAACTCAAGGCTTTTACTGAACATTTAAGATCATTGTTATCAAGTTGCCATTTCTCTAGGAAAATCTTCTGCTTCTCCTGAGGCAGAGCTCCAAGAGCGCTTACTTTGCTAGTGTGGTAGAAAGATGCCAGTTCTGGATTACTACGGTAGAGAGCAGCTACAGAGCCACTGTAAGATGATGTCAGGATCTTCACAGACACAAAAGCCTGTATGAAAAATACAAAACATTAAAGACTTGGACAAGGCAAACACAGACGGTTGTTTTGAGCAAAGCTTCATCATACTGGCCTGCGAGGAGAGGCACCAGCGCTGCTTTGCACAGGCTCCCCAGCTCAGAGGGGAGTCCCTGCCTTGCCCAGGGAGAGAACGCACAGCCCTCGCTCCCCCCCTCTCAACTCGCAGCACCTGAGACCCCGAGCTTTACGCCCAGTCTGGGCACAGTTGTACACCCCGTTCCCCAGAGCCAGAAGGAGTCATTCATGACAATTCCACTGCGGTTGCTATGCTTAGAACAACCAGTACCCCAAAATAAAACAAAACGGCAGCTTGTCAGTTCAGCCCACCTCAGAAGAACTTGGAACACAGACTAGACACCCCAGTTTGGTAATACAGGTATCTATTTTATTAAAAAAGTTACAAACAGGTGGACTGTAGGGTTGTCTTACAAAATGACAAGAATGAATTCTACTGGAAAAAACTTTTTACAAAGCATTATAGGTAATTGTTCCATTTTTGCACTTGTTATTCCAGATTTCACCTATCACTGATAAAGATACAGTACATTAGATACATGATGTTAGGTAACATTTTTATTTGTAGAGCCCTACTGCAGTGATTTGAACAACTCCTAAACAGATGCCATAGTAAAGACAATACATATTGCATTTATTATTAGCCTCTTACTCTAATAAGCAACTTCACATGCAATCTATTGAGGAAGCCTAAAATAACTTTTGGTCCCTTTTTCCCCCCAAAGTGTGCTGAAGAAACCATCTCTCGTTTTCCCAGTCCTGTCACTCTAAGCTAGTTCAAGTTTTTTAAACTTTTTTTTTCTTTTTTCTTTTTTTTTTTTTTTTTGCGCTGAGGTCATTGAAAATGAACACTGGTTTGATAACTACCCATAGGAATGAACCACTGATTAATATTAACAAACTTTTTCCCCCTTAGACAAAGGAAAACTAAGATCTTTATGAATTACTTTTATTTCCTATTACTTCCTTACAACCTACAAAAAAGAGCAACAACGACCACTTAAAAAAAAAAATCTACTTTGAATACAAGGTTTGGTTTAATTCTGATATTAAAGTGCAAACCTAAGTATTAGCCTCAGCCTGTTTATAAAGTTTGTACAAACAGGGGAAAAAAAAAAAATTTCAAGTAACCCCACAGGAGAAAAAAAAAAAAAACAACAAAACAATCAGGTGTTTCGATACCCAAGCAGAAAACCTGGTGTCCTCTTCTTTTAAGGATTCAACTTCAACACTGAATGTAGACTCAGAATCTTTATTTCTGCTAACACTGTAAAGTCAGCCTGCATTATTACCAATAAAACACATTAATGTTGAGATACTGTACCGGTGATCTTTTATTGTTTTAAATGCCATCATCCACAATACAATTCGTGAGTTTTAAACTGCTTAACCTCATGTATCCATCACTGCTTTTACTGGAGCTTTTCTCAAAGTTATTTAGCTATTACAGGGAAAGAATGTACATTTCTAGAAGCATGTTCAAATGACTAAAGCTGGGCTCCTAAAAACCTAGAACTTTGGTGCAGTAGGTGAGCTGCAGTTATTAAATTTCTGCAAAAAAAATTACACATTTTAAACCACTGCTAGAAAAAGCTCATGTATGCAACATGTTAATCAAACCGAACAAAAAGATTTCATCTGTTCTTTGTACATTTTCATTCTGCTCTTTATACCTGTGTTATTGTTAAAATTTTCAAGTATTCAGAGAAAATGTTGATCAGGTAAACAATAAGGAAGGCAATGGCTGTTTAAAGCACGCTTGCAGTTAGTATCACTGAAACCTGGTGCTTTTCCCCTTGTTACACCGACTTGTCACTAATATTAAACTTGTTTACTGGGAAAAAAAAACAAACTAAAAAGCAATTTGTGACAGTGCAAGAAAAACTTTAACAAATATTGCTTTAAAATATTATTCAGAAAGACAAATATTAGGAACTATAAAATGTAAAGTGATCTTATTTGCATTAGATTTACATGTGCAGAGGTCTGCTAGATGTCTCTTAACATGCCAGGCAAAGCTGAGCTGACTGACTAGGCGTACAGCCCATTTTGAAGGATACATTATCCCTTTTCAAAGGCATAAAGAAGCTATTTGTAAACAAGCAAGTTTAGAAACTCAGTAGAAGGAAAAGTGTGCTGCCATTTTTCAATGCTACAATTGTCATTTTTGATTAAATGAGTTGAAGAAACCCATGACTGCAAGAAAAGAAACATCAGCTGGAGACTTTACATCCCATTCCAAGCAATCCCTATTGTCAAATCGGACCAGTTACAAACACAATATCACAGCTGCATTTGCCAGGAAAAGGGATACTACATCCATACAACAGAGGTGCCTTCAGTATCTTTTCATGACACTGTCACACGTAAACAAAGAGTCTCAAAGAATGACCAACTACATTGGAGGAGAAAACTTTGCAAACAGAAATAAGCACTGATGCGAGGTAATATACAGAAGTAACCATTTGTTTAAGGCTCAATTTATTCTCCATTAAAACTCTCTTCTTTTAAAAGGCATTGAGTAGGTAATACTGAGTTTAAGTATTTAATAAATACAAGTTCAGAAATTGATTAAAGAAATCAATTAAAATATTAAAAATGAACTCTTGCATATTAGCCATTATATGAACTTAGAAAGCTATAAAAGGACTGATAGATAAAGAACAGATTTTTAAACTTATGGTAAACATGCTAAGCATTCTGATTAAGGTCTGTGGATCCTGGAGGCCACCAACCTTATGCACTTAGATGTATGGCAATGTGCTGTAATAGAGACAGGTTTACCAAGGCTCAGCTCTGCAACCTGGGCTGAAAGTTCTCCAAAGCAGCATCTGTGCAAGTTTCCTCTGAGTTTTATCTGCAATTTAAACAAAATAACTAATGAAAGCCATATTCAATACACATTCAAAGTGAACTCAGCTTCTCCCACAGTGTGGAACAGCCCGTTTTCCATACTGAGCTCCAAAGCACCACTTTACACAGCGGCATTCTTGAAGTTCTCCTCCCCTAATTCTGGTAATAAAAGAGACAAGCAGGTAACAACTTACTGCTGTGAACTTTGTGGGATACTAAATTGCTTCCAAAGAGCAGAAACAGCTAGGAAGTTTAAGTTCTGTACAGATACATACACTAGGCTTTGCATTGGTGGTGAGGAGGCACTACATCACCTAGTTAACATGGAGCAACAGCATTTTGCACAAGTTCTGGGAACGAATAAATGGGCCAACTAATTCAGTTTTGACAGCTGAGTTCTCAGCGTTCAGATCCTCTAAATTACTACTACAAACCCCAAACCCTTAGCATTCATCAGACTTAGCCTCATCAGGGACAGACCTGTATGCTGCTGTTCTTAATCAAGCACACAAACTTAAGTAGTGTGACCAATACATCTTTGTATTTCTGATAACTTGACTGCACTTCACAAGACTCAGCTGCAGAGGTATCCTAAAAGCCTCAGTCAAAGCTCAAAGTCTGTAGAAACCTGTCCTTCATATGCACATGCATGCACTTCATTGAAGATTGATGCTTGGCTTTTCAGGGATTTTGAGGAGTCTTCTCTATTCTTGAAGTCGTTTCTTTACATTTCCTACTGTACTGTTTCTTTTCAGCTGTTGATTTGCTCTTAGTTAACAGTTTGTCACAACAGAGTGCTCTGACACAGTCAGGATTCCCCCTTCTCACCACACAACTGATCACCCCCAACATTCAGGAGCAGTACTGCTGTACTGACAGGAGCAAACAGCCAGGTTTTGCTCGCTTGCTTGTACGCTTTCCAACTAACAGTAACTCTCACACAGTCTGGTGAGCACGTGTCCCCCCCCATGCTGTTGCTGGTCCATGAGTTTTAGATGGGGAGGGTCCCCGTACTGTCAAAATGGCAAACATTTAGCTTTTAATGGGAATGGATTAGACCCGCTTAATAGGTGTTTTATCTTTGCTTAGAGCACAGGAGAGGCAAAGAATTTACAGCGCAGCTCCTCATCCTACAAGAGTTAGATCCATCACAAAACTTCACCCAAATCCAGCATCCAGTGCTGTGGTCAGCAAAAAATTGCTGGGGATAGTAAGAACAGAGAAAGCAAGTAATGGTATTTTCCTCCATGTGTTCTTTCAGTACCCTTGCATTTGCAGGTTGGGGACCTCCCAGTTCAGATTTGTCACCCTAGTCACTACAATTAGAACCATGTAGTACCCCACCTGGCTTCCCCTGCCCACAAAATTTCTATTCACTCTCTAGTCTCTTCTGCAAGAGCAGGCAGGGGAGAAGGGGATGTTAGACAACCTAGTAGGATAAATTTGTCTGTGCTGCATAGCCACATGGACCAGAAGACAGTATACTTTCAGTTTTTACCCCTAGAGCAGAGTACTCTTCCTTTAGCGCTTGCTAATATCAGTTACTTAAGAACGGAGGGCACAGAAATCACTAATCAACCTCAGTCTTTCACCCCAACACTAAGGTGTTCCAAATCCAATTAGTACCTCTACAGAAAACTTCTAATGCACCAGCACGGAAACAGGTGCCCTGTTTTAAAGAAGATTTAAAATACAAAACACTCTCATACTGAAAAATCAAGAAAAATACTAGAGCAAGGAACAGAGAGCAGCTACTGGAAATCACACATCTCTGAATGCACTAATGAAACGACATAAGACCATCGCAGAAGCAGGAAAGGGGGGCAGGGAGGGAACAGGACGCAGGAACAACACACATTTTTAAAAAGAACTATGGGTTCTCCTGATTGTGTAGCTATGTTTCATCCTTCCTTTCACCCAAGGCAGCTGACTGGAACAGTAATTTCAGCAAGTGCTACTCAAAAGTGTCGTGAAAGAACCACACTACATCGGATTTGACAGACAGGTTGAGGTATCACTAACAAGTAGAGGTAAGTGGTACCTGCTAGTTAAAACAGATGCTGAAACAGCCTTAGATTAAAATACAGGTCCATCATATAATCCACGCACCCCCCCCTCCCGCTGGTTTCTCCATCAGTACTTGTAGAGGCACAAACTGTTTCTGTGTACCTCAATTCTGAACTGATCCAGACCTAAGACTCCTCCTGGACACAGACAGGTCACAGAACTTAGAGATGATGAAGATTATGCTAGGATAGAGCTATAGTTCAAACCCACTTCCTACACACCAGTTTTCAGACAGCTGGTTCCACTTCCTCAGTTTCACTTTACCTAGGAGGGGTCACTGCTAAAGCAGATGTTTGAGAAGCAGCAATTGCTCCCTGGATCACAGATAAGCAGAATAATTACAAAGCTGATTACAGCTATCACAATACACCATCAGCAGCTCTCCTACACTAGAGCACATCAGACAGAAATTATCAGGCAGCAAAGGCTTATCATAAAGTTAATGAGATCCTACACCTACTCAAAGAACAAGGATAGAGTGGGAGCCAGGAAGAAGAAATATCTCAAAAGTGTGAGGCTGACATGGAAGATACAGAGCATGACGCCTGTGAAGAGCCTGGACAAGTAATACGAAAAGAGATTCCAGATGCGGTGAGATCTGGACTGAATAGGAAGCTTCTTAGGAAGGAAAGACTGACTTGTTAGGCACAGGTGATGAGACTGCATTGGGCAGAAGCAGCATCCCCTAGAAGCAAGGGAGTATTTTGCTGCTAGAGGCTTGATGTGACACTATGAGCTAGGCAGAATGAAGGAGATGAAATCTGTATTACAAAAGCTTAGGATCCTCCACCTCAAGTGATCACAAAGACATAAGAACACAGATGTTTCTTCTGAAGCAAGAGCATGTTTAGGAAACTCATCAAATCTAGGCATAAGTTATGATTCAAAGGAATAACATAAGGCCCTGCCCCCCACCTCAATTTCACCTTTAATATTAAACTTGGTATGTACTGCTAAATCCAGAAGCAGCCAGGTTACAAAGAAGCCTCCCTTAGAAGTAACCAATTCTGGAAGTATAAATTTCATGGACAAAGGGCCTGATTTTGTCAGAATTGAAGACAGCAACCTGCACTAGAAACCCACGGGACTAGCATAACCTTTGGCATTATACTTCAAATCCTCATACTCTTTATTTGTGAAGTTGCCTTAGAAAGAGCTGAAACATTGCGTTACTATATGTGATTCAAGATATTAACCCTGCAGCACTCCATTAAAAAAAAGCCGTAATTAATTTTATTTACTCCTTCCTATAACCCTATAATGGTCTGCAGGTGTTAGGGATTAGCATCCAAGGTAAGACTTTATTTGTATTTTTCCTCTGCTCCAATACAAGCAGTTTGCCCGCCTTCCAGCAAGCAAATCTTGAACTTACACACACCTCTTAGGTGGTGACAGCAGCCTTTACTTATTTCACAGAACTGGAGATAAAACCATGGTGTATTATCTTTAGTATAATGGTGCTAGGGTCATGAGTATCTAAAATTTTACATTCACAAAGCACTTGATAACAATCTCAAAGACAAGCTTTGAGACTTCACTCTCTGACCTTGCACTTCAGATTAAAGAGGATACATGGTCCAAAGCTTCCAGCAATAACCTGTTTTCCCTCTTGTCACTCAGACACAAAAAGCTCCTTTGACTCAAGCGAGAGTTACTAACTTGGCAGTCGGAGCCTAAGCCTCAATCAGTGCAGCTGTCAAGAGGGACAGTTCTTTCCCCTGATTTTCATGTCCTCCCTCATCCCTGCACTTGCCCTCAGAGATGACAGAGTCGTTTGCCAAAACACGTTCAACAGACAACTGAAGGTCTGATGGACCAGCAGGTTGCGTGCAGAGTATACCAACGATGCAGAAGAGCCCTTTTCAGTAACATGGATTCAAGCTGATGGAGAAACTAGACCTGTAAGGGCTACGAGGGAAAACAAGAGCAGGGGGAGTCCAGAGGCACCTCACACAGGAATGGCAGTGCTGCTGTGTGCAGGGGGGAAGCAGATCCATTTACACAATCAGGTGAAAAAGGTACTGATAGAGACCACCATGTGTGTGAAGGGCCAAGAGTGGAAAGAAATAAAAGTCAAAGCAATACTCGAGATGGGGGAAGCTTTCTAGAGGCCCCTCTGGACACTGCACTCTTGCCACACCTCTTATGAGTCACTGGGAAAGGAAAGAGTCGTGCATTGGGAAGCCATTTTACAGTGTGTTCTCTGCTCTGGAGGTTTTAGACGAACAGCACTTTGCACACATCCTTGACTAGAACATGTGGGCTTCAAGCTACTCCTCACAACTCAGGGTGGTTCTCTTTTAAACTTATTCCACTAATACCAGGCAGAAATGTACTGTAAGTACATTCAGTTTCTGTACCATACAATTTATTAATTTTTTTTTAAAAACAAGCTCAAAGTCTTCTCAGCAAAACTACTGGGAAACTTGGTCACAATAACCCCACTGAACTCCAAGGCAATTCCTGTTACTTGAAAATAATTCAGATACCAGCTACAACCAATAACGAAACCCACTGCAAAACCACAAAATGTTAGTGAGGACAATGTAATGTCAAACACAGCACTGACAGTCAAAAATAGGTGCGGATGAGATCATACACTTTGTCTCATTGTAAAATTACTGCAAGTAAATGCACTGTTCCCTGACTAACCCTACTGAAGTAATGCAAGGAGTCCATTTAACTCAAGTAATCATGTGCAAGCGAATGCACAAGCTTCCATTTATTTCGGAGGAAGGCTACCTCCAGGTTGGACTACTTAATTTCAGACTCCCTGTTACGCTTTATCTGCTTGCTTCAACAGCACGCTTATGCACCTCAATTAGTTATGACTGTTCCACCAACCTGCTCTGTATGGCCATGATTGAGGTTTTTCTTAATTTCTCTCACTGGACGATGCAAGTTGTACAACACTGATCTTGTTTTTCAGGCAGGGAGGCATAGTTCATTTGCCTGACGATCTCCGCAAACAGTTCATCCACCATTGTTTTGCTCTTGGCTGATGTCTCCATGAAGGGACAGCCCCACTCCTGAGCCAGGGCTCTGCCTTCTGCAGATAGGACCTCCCTCTCCGATTCCAGATCCACTTTATTCCCCACTAGGATCAGAGGAACTTTCTCGTATCTCTTCACCCGGACAATCTGGTCCCTCATCGGCTTGATGTCCTGATCAAACAATCCAACCGGTTAGTACATGTAAGTAGTCACATGAAAAATCGCTATATAACCACTACAGAAGCACATTTTAATAACTCTCACATGCAACTGAACATTCAAAATACATCAGAAAGCTTCTTAAATTCACATTCATGCGGATCTAGAACTCGGAGAAAGGTTGCTCCCCACCTTCAATAGAAGTTATTTTTTATTTTATATAAATTCATACACATTTTATAAAATGTGTATGTATCTACAAACAGAAAGCAACTACTGTACTCTAACAGGCTTTCAGTTCAGCTAGAGGAAGATACAGTATAGCTGCTTTGAACGTTGATTTCAGTTTTCTGAAAAAATTGTCTCAAATCTAACGATCTGTAGCATTAGCAGTACCATGCCATTACACAATCATTTAGGAAGCTTGTGTTTAGCATAGAGCTTGAGAAAGCTACTAATTTAAATAAAGTCTTCTCACTTCTGGAATGCTTAGAATAATTAATTGTGAACACATTTAATCACATGTAAGTAAACAAATTAGACACTGTAAAGAGATTTTATTACCTACAGATGCATTTATTCAAGTCTGAGCTTACATCAGGAGTTTACACTTGAAAGTCTGAGTCAGCCTGCTCTGCCCCCTGAGTGTTTTAAGTTACTATCAGTACTACTAAATTCTACAAACTCTTGTGTAGTTCCAAGACAAAGCAAGTTACCGCTGTGTAAAAGAACTGCGGGAGAGCAGTTTACACCTGCAGGCTTCAGAGTAAACACGCTATAGACGTGAATGAATGATTTAATATTAACAGGATGGATTACTAACTGGACATCCATTCCTCGAATAATAGGGACACACTGGTCCCCAAATAAGTGAAAACAAGGGGACAAGCATCCCAATGCCATTGCTGTTGTTTTCCACAGAAAGTATGTCTTCAGCTTGTACTCAGGCTGCCTCGAGGCCTTTGCTAAGATAAAGTTTAGCCTTCAGCTGAAGCAAACATTCTGCTTCAGTGGGGGTGTGCAAGGTTTTGCCAAGCAGCTGGAACACACCCAACTCAGCAACTGAAGCCAACGCAGTAGTTGCAAATCCTGTGCTGCATGCAGCGCTGCGAAATCCACTTACTCCACAGAAATAAAGACTCATTTCTAGAGACAGCTTAGACCAGTTACTGGCTGAGATAATTCTAATTTTTTGAGTTTTAATAGTAGATGTGAAATCCAGACCCACAAATTGTCACATATGGTTTGTCTCTCCTCTCCAGTACACCACCTATGCTGTGAAAGTGTCGAGCTTATGCTGGACAGGAATATATTTGGGGGGAAGGGGTAGAAAATAGCAGCTTACTTAAAAAATCACAACTGTAGAACAATAAGAGTCTCTTCAAGAACAACTGAAGAAACAGGCCTTGTAAGAAGAAGGGTGTGTGTCTGTGTGTGTGTGGAAAAGGGAAGTCTCGATTTTAATATCAAGTGATTTCTTCATAAAAGGGGATTGCCAAAAGATTTCTGCTGGGGAAGTGGGAGCGGGTCATTGTTCTCCAGCTCTGCGTGGGATTTAACACCCTGATAAGTACCTGCAAAGCAAGCAGTTTCCCCTCAGGAAGCGGGGCTGGCAAACGCACTTCCAAGCAGGGCATTTTCACTTTTGCCCCTTCGGAGCTGAACGGCGTGTACCCACACGAGGCGAGCCCTCGAGCTTCCTCCTCGGCTCTGCGCCTTCCCCAAGGCGGGACG